TTCAGTTTCTCACAGTGTTCATTTGAACCACAAGCATATTTCAAGGCCAATATTCTGAATTATAGCTCCACGTGTGCAAATACCCATCTCCCCACTTTAGATGCTCAGAGTTATACCTGTGTAATTTCATTTTAAAAACAGCCAGGTCCCTGTAGTGTAACTGAGGGCATACTTTCTCTTTCTGGATCTTTAACAGAGCTGATGAAATATGAGCTAGAAATAACACAGCTTGAGTTTCAGGTTCCATGCTGAGTTTACATGCCTGGCATTTAGGGACAGGAAAATGGGCTCGTAAATTGAGGAAATACACTCTAGAGATCTTTGGGATGTAGTCAGTGCTGAACCTCATGTTATCAGTTTTACAGAAAGTACGTTTTCATTTTAAACCACCTCCCTTCTTAGGGTAGGGTGCCCTTCTGCATTTCTCCTGAACTTGATTAACATATTCATAGAGCATTTATAGGGTCAGATCCTCTAAGTTTCTGTGGTTAAAAAAGATACATGCTTTTCCAAGGAACTTGAAAGAGAGTTTATGATAGGCAAATCTCTCATATTTCAATCTTTCTGCCATTTCCTTGTCGATCTAATATTTTTACTAGAGCAAACTAAAGTTCTTGGAACAGCTTTTTTTTAAAAAAAATAATAATAATGCATTATAATGAAAATGGCTCTGGATGGCCTATTTTGGGAACATGAAATTGCTGTTGTCTGTATTACTTCTAGATTAAAAAGAGGCTGTGATAAAATAATTAAGACAGTTTGTCCAATTTTTTTTTTACAATGTCTCCTTATTTCCTTTGCATCCAACCATCTGGAAGGTTGCATTTTTTTTATATCATATGCAATTCATAAATAATTTACAAATATTACCTTAAAGGCAAGCCAATTGGGCCAGTCATTCTTTCTCAGCCCAATCCATCTCACAGGGTTGTTGTGGGGAAAATAGGAGGAGTATGGTGGGTTGGATATTCTTGCTGCCTTGAGTTATTTACTCCGCTAGCCATTGCCGACTATATAGGGCAGGGGTGTTAAACCTGCGGCGTCACGTGACATACCAGGACTTTTCCCCCCTTTGCTAAATGGGCGGGGACGGGGCCAGCATGTGATGTATCTGGACTGCGGGCCATGAGTTTGACACACTTGATATAGGGTGATGCTCATCTCTGTTTCAAGGGCCTTTGAGCCTGTGCTGTCCAAAGATGTTTCTGTGGTCATGTGGCCTGCATGATATCACAGAGTGCTGCTACCTTCCCACCAAAGTGGTGCCTATTTATCTACTTGCATTTGCATGCTTTCGAACTGCTAGTTTGGCAGGACCTGGGGTGAGGATGGGAGCTCATCCTATTGCATGACCCTCAGATCTGGAACCTGGGCTGTTGGCTTCCTAACCAACAAGCCAGGGGTGGGATGCTACTGGTTCAGCCCGGTTCTATAGAATCAGTAGCTCTGAAGAGCAGCAGACACCGGACCGGTTCGCTGCGACGGCCTTTTGGTTGTCTGTTTGGCCCACCAACCTTCCCGGGCTCTTGACTGTCCTTTATTTCCTGCTTTTTCAACCTCATCTGCTTTGTGCAGCACAGCTGAGGTTGAAAAAGCAGGAAAGAAGAGGATTTTCAAATGCTGCGCATCCACGCGCAGCGCTTGTCAGCTGTCTGGGTGGCACAGCTGATGGTTTTTTGCAAATGCTGTACATGCACACGCAAAGCAAAATGCATTCTCATCGAACTGGTAGTAACACCGGTTGAATCCTACCCCTGCAACAAGCCCAACATCTTAATTGCTGAGCCATTGCACTACTCCCAAAATAATAAAGGTGGGATAAAAATAAATAAATTAAAAAATTAAAAAATGAGCAGGAAATAAAAAGGAAAAAAAGAAAGCTGACAAAATGGGAGACCATGTAGATGTTCCTCAGGATGGAATTCTAGAGTTTAGTAGCAACAACCACAGAGATTTCCTGCATTGGAGAAGAGCAAGGCTGGAGTTTAGTGGATTATGATCTTTTACAGATCACCTGATGTGCTATTTGGATTCTTTGGAAATGGAGCGGCCTACAAGAATACAGTGAATTGTCATAAGTAGTTGTGGGAAAGCTTCTCAATATCTTTATCAGTGGCATGCACCAAGGCAGCTGATTAGTTTGTCATGTTCATACATGGAATATGTTGTTTCATTTATCTTTTAGTTTTTCCATAGCTGTTGATAGGTGCACCTAACTGTGGGGATGCATAATCTTCCTATAAAAGCTGCCATTTTACAAGCAGCTACCATTCTCACAATCTTTTGGAAGGATCCTTTTCAAAACTGCACATTCAAACAGGCCAGGATGCTGACCAAAGGCCTGGGAGGGAGTGGGAGGAGAGGAGGCCTGAGATCTGAGTTATCTGGTTGGGAAGGGAGGAAGCCCAAGGTGTTCTTACCTGTAGAAAATTTGTGTGCGCTAGTGGACCCTGTAGTAGTCCAAGGCCCTCTTCAGGCTTCTCTCACCTCCCTTAGGTATCCTATGACCTGTGTGGTCACTTAACGAACACAAATGGGACTCCCAGGATTGCGATTGTTGAGCAAGACAATCAAATAGGCTCATCGCTTAACAATTACAATGACTTACAACCAACATTCCAGGGTCAGTTATGGTTGTAAGTTGAGGACCACCTAAATTGGAAAGACATTGTGGCAAATAAGCAATTCTTAAAAAGTAGAAAAGTTTGAAGTTTTGAAAACTTTGAAATGATGATTTACACAGTTTCTTTTACATCATTAGCAAGACATAATGTTCTGGGAATATTTATCGTTTTCCATCAATTTAAAAAGCATGATATGAGCATGTTGTTATTTTGCTTCATGGTCTGAGCAGCCTTAGTCGTTTTAATCAGTGAAGATGTACACAAGAGTTAGAAGTTTCCAAAGGTCAAAGAAGTGGCTGTCTTTTTAGCTTTAAATCAGAATGGACCTTCCAGCTTCTTGCAGGCAGAATGCCACGCTTGTGTCTGCATGTCTGCCATTTCCCTTTCTTTGGAAAAAACTTTTGCAATTAACTAAAGGGCAGATCACACCACATTCATCCATAAATGGTTGTACAGAATAAATTCCTTTCTCCCCTTTTTTTTTTTTCCACCACAGCCAATTTCGGGGACCCTTTCTGCTCTTTTCTATTTAAAATGTGACAATGAACATCACAGAACTATTAAACCTTTAATTCATTGATGATAAAACAAAAATCCAAGTACTGCTACAATAATATTTTCCTAATTAATTCATCTATCATCTATCATCTATCTATTCTATCATTGTCATCATCATTCTGCTTAAATTTCTAAAATATTTGTTTATTTATAGGATGTTTGGACTGTTAAACATATCCACACCTACATCCACACATATACACTAGGGGAAAGAGGATATATAAGCAGGAAGCACAGATATATAGATTTGAAACCAGATAGCTAACATGGACAGATACTGGTGAGATCCAAATAATAGAAGTGGTGAGATCCAAATAATAGAAGAAGGAAGGAAATTTAAATTTAATTGAGGAATTAAAAAAAATAGGAAGATACTTGATAAATAAGGGGGACAAGATCAAACAGATTAATGGGATGTCCATAGAAAAGCTACAAGTTGTTACTGTAAATCGGTTGAGATCAGGGGTGGGATTCTACAGGTTCATACCTAATTGCTAGAACAGGTTGGTAACATTCTAAGCAGTTCGGAGAACCAGTTGTTAGAAGAAATTACTGGCCTAATCCTGTAAAGAAGGCTTGAAGGAAACATTTGGTGTTGCTTACAGAAACTAACTCTCTATTAACCCTTTTTACATTCTTGGCAGGACTAGACTTCCTGTCTTTGGAATTTCTCTAGAGTTTTTTTCCCCTCCTTTACTGGTACTTTGCTTGTGTGAAGTGACCATTCAAAGTTACAATGGCACTGAAAAAAGTGACTGTTTTTCACACTTACAACTGTTGCAGCACCCCCACAGTCATGAGAAGCCAGGCAAGGAGATGCATGCCTTGATGTGAGTGATATTGTGTTGACCACACCCAGCCAATAACATGACCACCAAGCCATGTCCACCCAGCCACATGACAAACCAAGTCACGCCCACCACCTAAGCCACGCCCACAGAACCGGTTGTTAAAAAATTTGAAACCCACCCCTGGTTGAGATGTCAAATATTTGTTCATGTAATCCCTGGAAGCTAAGCTTGATTCATTGGTGTCTATATAATTGTCAGCCTTGTGAGGTAGTTGAGATAAAAGGCACACCCAGAAATACTATTTCTAAATTTATTGTACTCTTCTATTAACCTAATATTGACAGACTGAGTGTACATTACAGCTCTCCCCTCTTAGGAGAAACTAGGGGAGGTCTATTCTGAAACATTTGCCACACTTCCCAAGCCTTCTGTGGGCTCAGCTGCTGCTTGTCACTGTGTCTAGTCTTCAGCTCTTCCTTCAGTCTGCCAAGGGCATTCCCACATACCTCTATAGTAATTAAGTAATTCTCATTTGCTGGTTTGCTTTTCTTCTTCCCATATTGCTCACCGAATTTGAGATGTAATTTTTAGGCTGAGATGATCTGTGGGCTGATGCAGCTTTCAGGAGTGTCGCTTAGACAAAGATCTTTACACTTCAAGTTTGGGTGGAGCTCCACATTCTTCTTTTGATAAACTTAGGTACTGCTTACTCTCCATTATACCCCAATTAAAATGTAATTAAACTGAACTGACACCTCAAACTACTCTTTGGTGATAGCAAATTAAAATTTGCATCCAGAAAGCAATTAATATGCAAGTTCATCTTTATGGTGAGACTGAGCAGTAACTATTCTTTAGTGATAGCCATCTAAAATGTGTCTACAGACAACAATTAATATGTATTTTCATCTTTATTTTATTTATTTACATTGCACATTTTTAAACTTTTAGAATGAGACCATGCAGTAATCCATTCTAAATTATGCACATCACATCATCTTTCATTGTATCATTTCTCTTGTTACAGCTGTCACCCTGCTGTTGATGCAAACATGTCCTCAAGACTCGCCAAGCACTTCTACTTCGGAGCATATGATGCCTTTTTTGAACTTGGAAGAGGACAATGGTATTCCTGGGATTTCTGGTCCAGTGTGCTGCTAATCTCTTTCCTTTGGTTTATCCGTCTTTATCTGCATTATTTTAGTCAATGGATCTTACTCCACGTTTTTGCAGTTCCTGTCACAAAGTAAGCATGTGTGATGACCTGGGGCATGGCACAGAGGTAACACAGGTAGCTGGCAGCTCAAACTACCCTTCTATTGCTCCAAATTTCCCCAAACACTCCCACGTTTCTGGCAAGTCCCAGAGCAAAGTGATGACACATCCACACCCATACCTCCAGCAGCCTCTGGCTGCAAGTAGTGCAGCCCAACACTGTGGCACCATGGCTGCAAAGCAAGAAATCCAGCAGGGCAAGTCAAGGAATCAAAGGAGCAAGGCAATCCAGAAATCCAGAAAGAATGCAAGGAATTCAGGAAAGTTCAAATGTTGACACTTCATGAATTCAGCATTTGTTCCTGACAAATGCCCCTCCGCACAGTGTCTCATTAAGTCTCAGTCCCCAGATGTGCCTTGTGAAGAGGAATGGGGTGCTCTCCTCCCAAGTAGCTGGGTCAGTCTGCACTGTTCTCGCCTTCTCTCCACTCTCCATGCATGAGGATCAGGAAGGGGTGCTCATCGCCCGAGCTCTGTCTCTCATGTTCACTGCTGAGCCTCTCTTGGTCATCCTGCCCCCATTCCTCCTTGCCTACAAGCCTTCCCAATCCTGAAAGGCCCTGGCCTGATTGGCCCTGCTCGTCCCCATTTTCCTTCAAAGCCAACAAAGCTGCCCCCTCGATCTCTGTCGGCACCAGTTCTAGCTTGTCTTCCCCTTCAGATTCAGGCCCCGATGGGGGCATTACAGCATGGATCATGGCTCTGAAGCTGTAAACTGTATGAAGTCTAAGAAGAAAATTTACATGTAATTTGAATCAACTTAAGAGTATAGGTCAAGTGATTCACTTAGTCCATGTTGGCTTCCATATCACTAACTGGTATAGTCAGTGTTGAGACACGATGGGAACTTCTGGAGGACACAGTTATGATGTGCTTTGTGATTGCAAATGTAAATTAGTAAACAACATGCACATTGATGGGCATCTCACTTCGTATCTATTCTTCTCAGACTACAGAAGAGGAGATTGGAAATGATTTGAATAACTTTAAAACTATAAACTTCTGAAACTGCTCTGTCTTTCAGAAAGCATTTCATTTGGAATGTTATTGGTTCTGTCATTTTAGAGAGGGCCAAAGCTTCCATGAATGAAGGGATTTATTAGCACGAAAGGATTTTTTTTAAAAAGCCACTTCTTTTCATAATACCTCATCTTTATTTCTGATGGTTGGTGGGTGTGACTTTTATTGTATTACACCATTTTCTATGTTTTGTGTTTTGAACTTTAAATTCCCCATTTACACATAATTAAAGGTAAACGTTCCCCTCGCAGATACGTGCTAGTCGTTTTCGGCTCTAGGAGGCAGTGCTCATCTCCGTTACAAAGATGAAGAGCCAGCACTGTCTGAAGACATCTCCGTGGTCATGTGGCCGGCATGACTAAACACCGAAGGCGCACAGAACGCTGTTACCTTCCCACCAAAGGGGTCCCTATTTTTCTACTTGCATGCTTTCGAACTGCTAGGCTGGCAGAAGCTGGGACAAATAACAGGAGCTCGCTCCATTACGCGGTGCTAGAGATTCAAATCGACGCACTGCTGACCTTTCTGATTGACAAGCTCAGAGTCTTAGCCACTGAGCCACCGCGTCCCTTACGCATAATTATGCACATGCAAATACAAATCATCATCATTATCACCATTAATTTCTAGTACAGTAGAAAATCTAGTGGAAACATCTTTGTATGTTTAATGCATAAAATAAATCACTGAATAAATTGCTTTAGCATGCCTGTAACAAGGATCATCATTTTGCTTCTTGAATTTTTGCCCTATCTCTTTTATTCAGATTCCAGTTCTACCTTTATACTGTGGATTTGTGCTACCAGAATTCTTTGGTACATGCCAGTGAAGAGATGGCTATAGTTGTGGTGGGACCTTTGACCTTGAACACAGTGATGCTTCTTTTGATTCTGATGAGATGGGGCTGTCAACTGTTGTTTGACTTCTTCCCTTTTTACTTGTCAAAGCTGATCATGGCTTGGGGATTCTGGACAGTATTAGACCCTTTGGCAGTGTTTGTGGTGGATGCATTCCTGGGGGTAAGTCACTTAAAATAACTTCAATATAGAAGTTTGTTTTATTCAATGAGTCACCAAATCATATGAAATCCTACCTGTGCTGACAGCAGGCCAAGGAAAAAACAATTAAATAAATTGGTAGTGATTCATTATACTCAGTGAATATATAACACATATAAACTGATATTTCAGCGAAGGATAAAAATGATTGCAGCAGTTTTAGAAGCAATGAAATAGTTTAGGGAACCAAATAATATTGTTAAAGAATAAAACACAACATTCAAGGATTGTAAAATCTCTCTCTTTACAATTACAGCCCAAGATGTGCAGATGTAATCTGCATAACATATTTAATTGTGTTCCAACAATATATAGTTGATTGTACATAGTAAGTAACAAGGTTCTGAAAGACTGTCCACTCATTGATAGTATTTTTTTTCTCTCACCATTTTTCCTAGGATAAAAACTGAGCCAAATTTACTCTTTACTTGGACATTTTGTACCACCCAATCAATGTCTTGAAATAAAAGCTGTTCATAGAAAACAGATTAAGAAAAGGAGGTTTGATTCCTATCAAACTTGGGTCCTAATTGTCAGTTGGGCTTCTTTTACTATAATAGTTAGTTGGGGAAAAATCCTATATCTGCCCCATGGAATAAGATTGGCTTGTGATTTAAGTAAACAGAATTATCTTTACATTGTTAGCTGCAAGTGTAGCTAAATTTTGAGGATATTTTACTACCCAAAGATGCACTGGAATATTTAAGGAATACGTTTTTCTTATAATTATTCATGTTAGAGTCTTTGTTTCTTGCATCATAATACTATAACTACAAAACACTCAGAGTGTTTGCTTTCAGCCTTGTTTTTTTAATCTTAATACATTAGTACACTACTTTCAATTTCTAGGTGTGGGAATTATATATATTCTGTTTAGATAGTGGCACGCAGTGAATGCTCATTCAGTGTTTTCTCCCCTTTTTAGGAAAGGGGATATTCACAGATATTAGATCATTTTATTCATAAATTACATTTCAGATGCATCACCTGAAATTAAACAAAAAAATAAGGTAGAGAATGGCACATGTGGCTTTCTGGATACAGTTGAACTGTAGCTATTACTAGCCTAACCAGAATGATAAGGGATGCTGGAAATTCTACTTTGTTAAATCCAATGTTTAAACCCTAATTTTACTCACTTGCTCATTCACCCAGTCTCATAATTGTGCATTTAATGTATCCAAGGTTTGTCTTCTTATGTTGCTTGTGACTATGCTGATTAGCAGGGTGGACATCAAGCTATTCTCCACAAAGTGATGTATCCACAAACACAGACAGACCTAAGAAAGGCAACTTGTAGTTAAACAGCATCCTTGCCAGAGATTAATCATCAATTTGTTTGTGTCCTAGTTTATTGACCCTATAGAAGTCTTCACTCTCATGCTAGAGCATATGCAACAAGGTACAATGACTTTGCCTCAGATAGTACTTGAGTCTACAGTGTTCTAAGTACAACCTTGTATCAGGTTCTGAATAAATGCCAGTATGTTGCTAGGGCTGCAGCCAAGGAAACCCATTACCAATTCCTAAAACACATTTTTTTTTTGCTTTTTTAGGCTAACTGGTAACCCCAGCTAAATTTTTCTTTTAGCAAATGATAGCAATAAAACCATAGAGGAGCAAAATTGCAGTTAAATGTTTTGCTTAACATTAGTTTGGATATAATTTCATTCAACAAAATAATAGTAAATGTTTTATGGAAATTAGTTAATGAATTCTTAAATGAACCTTGTTTCAAAAGATAAATACAAACTATAATTTACCAAGATGCAGATGTCAACTTATTGGCTGACAAATTAGAAGATGATTAAGCAAAAAGTGATGAACAAAGAGGAGAAAACCAGGTATATATCTCGGCAAAGCAACAAATGGAGATCCTTTCTGAAACATGTCGAGTCCTTTATATATTCTTGATCATGATCCCCAGGCTTCAAGTTAACATCTTTTGAAGTCAAGTCTTCTGATTGTTGCTCACCTTTTTTAAAAAAAATTCAGGTGATGCATCTGAAATGTAATTTATGAATAAAATCTGGTAACCATGAAAATCCCCTTTCCTAAAAAGAGGAGAAAACATTGACTCCATCTTAGAATTGGTCCAAAAAAGTTACATAACTAGTTCTTAGGTGCAGCTCTCCAGACATCTGCATATCCATCAAATCCATCTTATGTATTTCTCATTTATTTATTTCTCATAAGTTATATATGTTTTCAGCCATTATCAAGATGTTCTGAATTCATATTACCCCATATCTTGGACTCCCTTAAAACAAATAATAAAATGTAGCAAAGGATAAAATTATAATAAGTCAACAAAGAACAGATCTATATGAATGTAAGTTAAGGATAGTATAAATCAGTCAATGTTGATATAAAGTCTACATACTTTCACAGAATTTCTATCAAATCTAATCATTACCAGCATCTGGTGAGCTACAGATCCACCATTTTTGTGGCATGCTAATGTTTAAATCTGAACTAGCAAAGTTATTTGCAATGGTTTTGGAAGGAAGAGAAGAAACAGGAAAAGGTGCTTATTTATTTGCTTTATTTATAAAGTGGTATTTGTAATGGGCTTATAATTAATGGCAGTAAGATATTCAGGTGCACAGAGGCTGCTAAAGGATGTCCATTGTTCTCTTGTTGGGCAAAGACTTCTGTATTACTTTTCAGTTCAGTTCTATGGTTATTCCCTCAACGAACTGCTTTGGATCTATTGCAGAAAACCTGGGCACTATAAGCCACAGCAGAGCTGAAGAATCTTAATTCCTGGAAGATAAATTTATCACCAGATTTTTGAACTGCTAAGCATGGCACATGGTGATCATAGAAACTATTGTATTTCACTGACATTTTTTTTCCAGCTTAATTTGAACAAATGATGGCAATACATTTTTAAA